CCGGGCAGGGCAGGGCGGGCCGCGGGCCGCCAGGATGCCGGACTACCTGGGCGCCGACCAGAGGAAGACCAAGGAGGAGGAGAAGGAGGATAAGCCCATCCGCGGTGAGAGGCGATGCGGGCGGGGGCCCGGCCCGGCCCGGCCCCGCCGTCTCCCCCGGGCCCACTAGCCGTTACCGCGGCACCGGGCGGCGGAGCCGGCAGCGTCCCCCACCCCACCCGACCCCACACGGGTTCGGGGTCCCCGTGTCCGTGGCGAGGAAACTGCCCGAGCAGCATCTCGGCCGGGCGCGGGGCAGCGCTGCCGGCGGCCATTTCGGTGCCGGGAGCGGTGGGCTTGGAGGAGGGCGACTGGAGGAAAAAAGAAAAAGAAAAAGAAAAAAAAGACTTAAAAGCCCTTTCTGACATGATTTCTGGCGCTGCGGTCGCCGTCCCCCGAGCGGCCTCCCCGACCGGGCTTGGCCGGTGCCGCCTGTGCGGCCCCGACCGGGGGGGGGGGCGTTTGGGGTGCGGTGGTGTTAGACGTCAACACCGGTCTGTTTTTTAAAGATTCTGAGGGAAAACTGAGGAGAGCCAGGTCCGCGAAGTCTGCTGCCCGTTGGGGAGAAGGGCGTTGGGAGCGCGGTGAAGGGTTGGTCCGGGGGGGGTGACGAGTACGGGGGGGGCGCCAGGTCCCTCCGGCGCTGCGGGGGAGCCGCTGGAGCCGAGATCCAGAGGGTACGGTCGGGCTTCTCTGTTGCCACGGCTCTCTCAGGTTCTCTTATAAAAAGCTTCTAAAAAGCCTAATTTGCTCTCTGTAAGGCAAAAGGCGTTTTGCGCTTTAAGGATTGGTGAACAGGTCAGCCTAGTAAAACATGGCAATTTGTCTCCGCTGGTGGAGTCTTGCAGAGCTGGCTGTCAAACCCTGTGCGTTGCTGCTTTCATAAGTTGAGGTGGCAAATTTTTCTGGTGATAACCGGCATAGTGTGAAAATTGCCAGTTGCTTCTCATGTTTGAATTTCATTTACCTTTTTTATTTCATGTTAGTAAGTGTTGAATAATGCATCTGGAAACAAAAGCAATACTTTATGTAATCAGTGATGGGTTTTGAACTGTTCCTACTCAAGAAAGATTTTTAAATTATAACAACAGAGTGTTTAGTAGACATAAAAAAAAAAATCAGTGGGGTACTACAAATAACCGGGAAAGCAAAGGATCAGCACATAAAAAAATCCTCTCAAAACACTGTAGGATACATACTGCACCCAGATCTTCAATACTGTGTGGTTTGGGCTCCCTCTATCATCAAAAGATAAAATGGAATTAGGAAAGAGAGAAAACTGAGGGCCAGGGATGCTTAAGGTGAAGGCTGTCATTCAATTGGGAAAAGAAACAGCTTTGGGGGGAAAGGAGAGGGAATGTTAAAGGTCTGTTAAATGACAAGTGATATGAAAGTAAATAGGGGGTGACAGTCAGAGAGAGTTCTATTTTTCTTAGAGTTTGCTGGAGCAATCTTGTGGGACTGTGCAAAAGCATATGCATTTTAACAGCTGACGCTGCTTGTTCTGATGTGGGAATTCTGAGGCTCAAGTTCAAGTTTCGGATTCCAAGTTTAAGTCAAGTAAAAGGAAGCAGGGTGCTGATTTAAACTGGGGAATTTCTTCCTGCATATTCTGCTGAAAGTTTACAGGGATTCAAAAAACTGACAGAAATAGTCACATAAGGAAATTTTTTTAAGGGCTGTTAATAACAACGTGTGACCTGGGAGTGGGAGCTTACTGTGTATTTGCCATGTTTGTAGACCTTCCTGTTGGAGAAGGGATATTGGACCAGACTGCATATCTCATCTAGTACAACCATTTCCATGTTTTCTGTTTTAAAATATTAGAACTCAGCACTGTATTAGTTATTGATTCTGGACTGCTTTAGTAGGTTTTAGTAGTTTTTTGTTGCTGAGACCAACTTAGATTTGGTTGCTGTTCCCTGCTCACGCTGGGCATTTTGGAAGAGACACATCACTGGGGGAAAGTGGTGGCAGTTTTTCATCGATGTTTTCTTAAACATTAAGAAACACAAAGTTAAAAAGATGAAGTTTTGATACCTTCAGTTCCTTCTCTGTACAGATGCAGGTCGGTAAGCTACTCTGAGCGAGGCAAGGTTTTAAGTTGCTTGCTTGCTGTGAGCTCTGGGTGGTACAGATTTTTGGACTGAAGAGAGTAGCTGGAGACCCTGTTTTGTTTTTCTTGAATGTCTGATACTTTTTTGTTCCACTTTGGTTTAGTGAAAAAGTAGAAACTCAAAAGAATCCCTTTAAAATACATGTTTTCATCTTTTAGAAGCAGAATTGAAATGGCTGATTTTGTTTGTAAAATTGGAAGCTAAGTCTTTCCTGTCTTCTTTCAGCTCTGGATGAAGGAGATATTGCCTTGCTGAAAACATATGTAAGTAGCATATATATATATCAGAGTGTTAAAGAAAAAAACCAAGTCCTGTTAGGAATTGAATGCAAGCATGGAGGGACATGTACTTAGTGAGTAGTTAGTAAATCTGCTTCTCCTAATGCTTTTCTCTCCTGCCAAAATCTTTTCTCCCTTTCTGCCTTCGAACAAGAAAGCCCCAAACCCAACCCACAACCCTAAAAATAATCCAGTTGGTTTGTTAGCTTGAAAGTAACGAAGGTGGTTTTTTCTGTTTTTGTTTTGCATCTTGTAGCTGATTGTCATAAGGGTCTAACAGCTAGGGCTTTACTAGGGCTTCTTCACTAACCAGTTTTCTTGCTTTGTAAAGAACAATAACTTTAAGACCCCTTCTCCCATCAAATTTACTTGCTTTTAGCCATCATGTTAAAAAACTATTAGTGAGAGATACATGGACCTTGTCAAAGAGTGTAATCTTGGGAGGCGTTTTCCACGGACAATAAGGCTTAAAATGCAAATCTCCCATCTCCACCAGAAGGTACAGTGGGTCTGTGAAAGAACTCTTGAAAAATGAAACTTGCAGCTTAGTGTATGTCTGGATTTAGATATGTTTGACAGAAGTCTGAATTTTGTTGACATTGAGACTCCTTTACGAAGCTCTGAAATATGGCTTGTGCCCGCTGTGGCTTCTTTTTTGTTGCCAAGTTGATACGAAGGAGGTCTTGTAAAGGAAATCCAGATCCAGATCTGTCTGCATCAGGCAGGGCAAGATAGTAAAGCATTTTATCACAAGCAAGACTCTAGCTTCTGATTTGCCCCAGGATCTTTCTGCTATCTTCTTTGGATGATAGAAAGTTTGGGTAAGGTAGTTAAAGCACTCATACAGATGATTTTCGGGTAATGTATACAGAATTCTGTCTATATATACTTTTTACTAAGTCTTTTTTAAACTTCAGTAAAAAAAAAAGTTTAAAAAAATATGGCTGAACAGGTTTAAAAGAAAAACAAGTCCTTGAAGTTTACAAATGTGAAAAATTTCCACTTGCGCAATTGGTCAGCTGTGTAGCTGCACTCTGTTTTTGTGAACAGAAATATTGTTACTGGACCTTAATACTGTCTTTTTTTGGCTGTGATCAATAGTTGGCTGTTACACCAAGACAGTCTATTGAACGTCTTGACGCTCAACAGCTATTGGCATTTTTTCCTAAACATGAAATCATTTGAGTTACGAAATCTACATGATATTTCTTTTCCAGGGCCAGAGCACATACTCAAGGCAGATCAAGCAAGTAGAAGATGATATTCAACAACTACTTAAGAAAATCAATGAGCTCACTGGTATCTTTCTTTCTTAAGATAACTTTCAGTAGAAGAGCCACATACACCAAAATGAGTGTTTTAAAAAGCTGATTTTAAACAACTTCTGCATTGGTTTATTATTGTTATTTTTTCCAAAAGAATACATTTCTTTAATTGGTAACGTGAGATTTTTGCTTTGTAGGTGATGGTCTTTTTGATTGGGTGGGGCTAATCTGTACATATGATTACGTAATTTTGTAGTTTAACACATTTTTATTCAAAACTGTAATTTTATATATTATGGTGGCATGAAACAAATGCCCCTTTCTGCCACTAGATAATTTGTTCTGATTTGTGTCAAGCTGCGTTTGAATAGTGAGTGAACTTCCATAGACTGCAAAACCTCAACGTAGTATCATTAAGTAGTGGTACCAGTCCTTGTATAACGAAGAAACATCTATTAGAGCAGTTAGGATTTAAAATCAGCTGGTCAGTTATGGCAGTTAGAATAAAAATTAATTTGTTCCCTAATTTTTCTTCGTTTGTTTTGCTGATATATGTTTGTTGCCCTGTTGCTAATCCCCTAGTGGCCCTCAGTTCTGCCAGGAAGACTGCAGTTTCTCTTTTCCAGTAAAATCCTTGATTCTTTCAAATACATCATGGAGATGGTACTTTTTATATCCATGGTTTGGAAGATTTATAAGGCTTTTCATCTGTGTGAATCCCTTAGCTTCTGATACCTTGCCCTAAAACTTTCCCTGAGTGAAAGCACTTGCAGAGTTTTGCTCCTTTTCTGAAACTTTTAGAAATACGCTTATCCCTGATATCTCTATCAAGCTTGGTTGTAATCACCCCCACACTGCAAAATTGTATTAGAGGATGGCTAGACTGGTATTTGCATGTTTAGCCGGCACAGTCATTTAGGCCTGATTTCTTTAGGAAACTTATTTTTTAGGAAGTCCATCAAAGATGTGTGCGCGTGTGTTTTGGAGATCTCTCAAAAAGCTTCCTGCAGGCTTACGTCTAAGGTTCTTGGTGCTGATGTACCAGTTAGCTGCTTCCTCCTCAGCTTGTCTGTGTTGTACGTAGGAATCAAGGAATCTGACACTGGCCTGGCTCCTCCTGCCCTTTGGGATCTGGCGGCAGATAAGCAAACTCTCCAAAGTGAGCAACCATTACAAGTTGCAAGGTGGGTGCACTTTTCCTCTTCACAGTGGAGCTGCATAGTGTTAAAAATGTGATTTAGAGCTTACGTGTAGACTTTTAAAAAAAATAAGGTTCACATGTTAGGCGTATTGAAAGTGCTTTTTACCATTGTATCAAAAAGGAACTGTCTTATGTTTGATGGTGCCTTACGTACTCGTACTTATTCCTGTAATTACTGTATGATGCTATAATAATAGAATCACAAGTACAATAGCTATTTTGGTGTATTTGAAAAATAAGAGTCTCTCCTCTTGATGCTTATACAAATAGCAAGCCAGTTAGTTTGCCTGCTTGGCAGTGTTAATTTTATGTTCTGTATTAGGTGTACAAAGATAATCAACGCAGACTCTGAGGATCCCAAGTACATTATCAATGTCAAGCAGTTTGCCAAATTTGTGGTGGATCTCAGTGACCAGGTGGCACCTACTGACATAGAAGAAGGCATGAGAGTTGGGTAAGCAAAATCTTTATGTTCTCATGAGTTTTCCCGGAGACTGAAGCTTTCTCATCTGATCCATTAGTTTGACATGTCAACAGCTATCACTTCATATTTTTGCAGTGGTTGAAATTATAACACTAATGCCATTCTTTTGGAAGATGGTAACTCACCTGCATGCTGTGCTGGAATCTTTTGATTTTGATGTCATTCTGATGAAAACCATGTCATGGACTGAAGCCTTTCAGTTTGGGCCCCAATATCCCCAGCTTTCAGGGAGCCTGTGTAGCCTGCTTCCTCTTTGGCAGTCTGCAGTTACACACAGGGGGTGACTACAGGAAATGTTCACTGAGGAGGTGAAGGCTGTTACTTTTAGAATCAATATTTTGCTAGTTTGCTCTGTGGGATATTTTGAAGTTTAGTTTTCACAATACTTTGGAATTAAGATTTTTGGAAACCTTAAAACTTTTCTGCAGAAGGAATTCCAGTTTCTAGCCCATCTGACTGTTAGCTTTCAGGGCTGGGCTGTCCTGATGCCAGAGAAAAGAAGAGTTTAAGAATTTGGCTTCTAATTTACAGAGTTGTTTCTACATGACAGTTTAATTAACCGGTGTTAAAATAATAGTCTTTATGCTTTTTCACCAGGGTGGACAGAAACAAGTATCAAATCCATATCCCCTTGCCTCCAAAGATTGATCCCACAGTCACCATGATGCAAGTGAGACTGCCTTTACTTATTTGACATTTACTTACGACATTGCTTTGTCTTGTAATTTTGATTACTTTGGCTGGATTTTGTTCTGGGCTGTTGAAAGCCTAGAGCTTTCAAAGCATCAGACTGAACTGCTCGCTCAACTTTTTGTTGTGCAGGTAGAAGAAAAACCAGATGTCACTTACAGTGATGTTGGTGGTTGTAAAGAGCAGATTGAGAAGCTGAGAGAGGTGGTTGAAACCCCTTTGCTTCACGTAAGTAACCTCCAGATTGAAACTTTTATTATTTTGAAAGTATTTTGGTCATCTGTTAGCATTTGAAAAAGCAAGAAAAGATAATGTAGCTGAGTATAAACACCTAAGTGAAAGGAAGTCTAGTTTTAACAAGTGAAATCCAGCCTAGCCTGGTTTATATTGCTCTTCGTTGATGATTTCCTTATGTGCATCAAAGACTATATGCAAATTAATTTTTATTTGCACATAACCTGGCCTTCTGTTTCCCACTGTTGCAGCCTGAAAGATTTGTTAACCTTGGAATTGAGCCTCCAAAAGGAGTACTTTTGTTTGGGCCACCTGGTACAGGCAAAACACTTTGTGCCCGGGCTGTTGCTAACAGGACTGATGCCTGCTTCATCAGAGTAATTGGATCTGAATTGGTGCAGAAGTATGTGGGAGAGGTAAGAGCAAATATTCGATAGAGTGTGGAGTGATTTGCAGATTTTCGGTCGTGGTGACCAGACACCATAGTGGGTATGACGGACGAATGTACTTGCATGCTTGGAGATACAAGGAGTGGGGAGGAACTGTCAAACAAATCACGGCAGGTCAGGCAATCAGTTGTAAAACCCAAAGTATGCTGCCATTGATGAAATGGATTTTGCAGTGCAGAGTTTAATGTGCAGTTTGGGAGGACTCTAGGATTAGGATTCTGTTCTCAACACTGCCACTTATTTTTCACTTGGCCCTGAGGTAAATGACTTCAGCTGTACTTCTGAATTTAAGAGTAGTAATTTGTCTCTTTTTTATAAATTGCTTTAAGATTTATGAATGTTCCATTATATATATGTGTACAAATAAGAGTTTTATCATTGGAAACTTAGAAGTGTTTGGAAGCATGAAAAGTTTAATTTTGATAGTTTTCCTTTAATGTGCCTTGAATCTTTAACAAAATCTTGATTTTTGCTTTCAGGGAGCTCGAATGGTTCGTGAACTCTTTGAAATGGCCAGAACTAAAAAAGCTTGTCTTATATTCTTTGATGAAATTGATGCCATTGGAGGTATGTTTGTGGTATCTATAGCTTTAATCTCAAATGACACCTTCCAGGTTTTCTTTTCATGTTATAATTCTTTATCTGGATTGCTGCATTTCAAGAAACGTGCTTGTAAATACCTATTCAGCAAAACTAGTACCAGAACGTCCTATGTCCAGGAAGCTATCAAGAATTGGTTTATATAGCTTGAACATATTTAGCCCAGATGAGAATTCATTTTTGCACATTTAGAACATCCAGATTATGTGAACTTCAGTGAAGAATCTCTGTATTGTGTTTGCAAAAGGTACTGTTAACTTAAACCCCCTTCAGCTTCTGGACTACATACTGAATCTTTATTACTGCCTGAAAATTCAGTAATTTTTTTTCTCAAAGGAAGTACATGGGTCCTTTGAAAGCAGAATAATTTTTACACAGACAAGGTAGGGGAAGATTTTGGTTGACGGGAGGCAAAACAAACAAACAAACTACATTTATAAATTTCAGCAGCCCGGCCGGTTATTAGGCAGGGAGATAGGCCCATTCATACTAAGGATGAAGATAAAGTGCCTGTTATAATGGACAGATAACAGCACTCACTCTTTGTTTGGAATGTGTCATTTTCAAAGAATCCCCTCACACCTTTTTTAAACTCATGTCCTGGTTTCGGCTGGGATAGAGTTAATTTTCTTTCTAGTAGCTGGTATAGTGTTGTGTTTTGGATTTGGTATGAGAATAATGTTGATAAACTGATGTTTTTAGTTGCTGTTAAGTAATGTTTAGACCAAGTCAAGGATTTTTCAGCTTATTATTGTATCATTATTTTTATTATCATCAACAGCATTATTTATTTATTTATTCTTCCTTTTTGTCCTATTAAACTGTCTTTATCTCAACACACGAGTTTTCCCCTGATTCTCTCCCCCGTCCCACTGGGTGGGGGGTGAAGTAAGTAAGTGGCTGGGTGGGGTTAAACCACAACAACTTGTCACAAATATTTGTATGTAATTTAAGATTATTTTTCCAGGTGTCTTCTATGTCGCAGCTGTGATTCCTCCTCCATGCTCTGAAGGTCCCTCTCTTATTTTGTGAAACCTGTGTCTTTTTTCTCCAGGTGCTCGTTTTGATGATGGGGCTGGGGGTGACAACGAAGTGCAACGTACTATGCTGGAGCTGATCAACCAGTTGGATGGTTTTGACCCACGAGGCAACATCAAAGTGCTGATGGCTACAAACAGACCCGATACTCTGGATCCAGCCCTGATGAGGCCCGGCAGGTTGGACAGGAAGATAGAGTTTAGCTTGCCTGATCTTGAGGTGAGAATGCTTTCTTTCACAGCTAAGTACATTCTGATATTGGAGTGTTTCTTCAGTTAGGGCATTATTGTCTGGAAGCAGTTTATGAGAATTTACAAAAGCAGCACTCTTAACTTATGTGAAACTACATGGAAATTTGGGGGATTAAGGATGTGCCAAAAAGGTTTTCCCACACTGCACAGATTCCATCCCTGGCCAAGAAGCTATGGTAAATAGCTACATTCACTGTATGTTTCTGACTCAACAGATAAGAATCCTTTAACTAGATCCGTGATTAGTTCTTAAGAGCCAAACAAAGCACATTCCAACTTTTGAGAGAGATTCCTTGAGGTACTTCTACCATTAAAGCTCTTTTTAAAGTTATTTTCTTAGTTTATATCCTGGACACTTAAACATGCTAGTCCAGACGTAGGGAACTATAGTTGAGCAGCAAATAAAAGATTTACTTTCCATCTGCCTTTGCTCTGGATGTGGACAGCTGCACGCTGAGAGTCATCCCCTCTTTCATAGCATGAACACTTCTATCCTCCGCTCTTCTTTCAGGGGCGAACTCACATATTCAAGATACATGCTCGTTCCATGAGTGTTGAAAGAGACATAAGATTTGAGCTGTTGGCTCGGCTGTGTCCTAATAGCACAGGTAAGCTGAATTTTGGGTTTTCTTTTTAATAATTCTGTGTATGCTTCATCTCCACTGGTGGTCAGTGTTGAATTCATTTATCCCTTTCTTTCAAAGGTGCTGAGATTCGCAGTGTCTGCACGGAGGCAGGCATGTTTGCTATCCGAGCACGTCGAAAAATCGCAACAGAGAAAGACTTCTTAGAAGCAGTGAACAAAGTCATTAAATCGTATGCGAAATTCAGTGCTACCCCCCGCTACATGACCTACAACTAATACCTTGGAATGTTTTTCCTGTTCCTGTTGTTAAACTTCCTGTGAAACAAAAATTCAAGTGAGTAATTCATGTCTTGTTCTTGGAAGCTAGAAATAAATGGAGTATTCCAGACAGTAGGTGTGAGTTCATTATGAGTGTGTTCTACACCGGTGGGGCATTGCTGCTGTAGAAGAAAAAAATCTCAGGGAGATTCTAATAATGCAGCCTAGACCAGTGAGATATTTTTAAATCAGATACCTGGGCAATGTTAGAAATCCAAATTTTAGATCCCTAGCCTCCATTTACACCCCAAAACTTACCATTTAAGCTGCAAAGGTGCTGAAAGATCCCTATGTGACTACAGTGTTTCTGGGTGCGCTTGCGTGACGTTCAGCACCGAGGTGCAAGTGTGTCCTGAGAAAACTTTCAGGAACTGCCATGGGACAAGAGCTGAGGAGAAGGCGTACACAGCTCAGCTCAGGTGCTTGGTGGTCTGAGTCAGTGCCCAGCTTAGGGAAGATGCAAAGGGATATTTTTTCTCTCCCTGGGTGAATGCTCTGGTACCATCATAACTTGTTTTTTTTTCTTCAGTGGTTTTCTTCATCCCTTTTGCTGAGATTCTTTGTTTCTTACAAAATAGTAAGTGGGTCAAGAAGGAGGAAGAAATAAGCATAATTTCTTAGCGCTAAGGGAAAGAAGATTAGTTTTTCCTGTTCCTCCTCTTCAAGTTTGGCATCAGCGTACTAGTGAGCACTTCGATACATCATATTACTTGTCTGAGATGCTACTACACATGGAGGATGACCCTGATAGGGTCCTGATGCTCTGGTAGCTGGGCCATAGCTGATAGTTGTTGGCAGCAGGCAAGGTTAAAAGGTTGATCTTCATTCATCTAGCATGTTCCTTTCACGCTGGATGGTTTGGTCAATGAAAAGCAACAGCCTTTCATTTTCTTTTTTTCAAGTTTTGTATTAAATTTGGAGGTGGGCAGGGGAAGAGCTGGAAGAAATACCAGGGTGGGGGGAAATGCTTTTGGGAACTGCTTTGTCTTGGAAGTGAGAGAAGTTTTATCAGGTCTCATTTTGATACAACTGACATCAATTTATCAAGCTTAGAAGCAGCCACTTAATGTCTTTTTTGAAAGAGGAGGTGCGTACAACAGGGAAAAAGTGTATGTGGTACATGGACTTTGTCAGGATTTTGGCCAGTGTCAGTAACTTGATAAGCAAACTGAGGCAATCCCCTGGTTTTGCCCACACCTGCTTGAAAAGCTGAGCTCAATGGTTATGTGTTATTTTGGGGAGGGATGCAAATTTATTGGTGGGACAGAATTTTTTTCACTTTGAGCCTGAGAGGAAAGTGGTTCAGAAAGCAGCACTGAGAGTATCTGTTTACCAAGAGCAGTACTCAAGTGTACCTTTTAGTTCAGAAGGGTAAGTGAAGTATGTAAAAAGAGTTTGGGTCTTACTGGGTATCCTGAATTATCATCAGTCCTCTTGCAAAAAAGGAGGGGGAGAGGAGCATTATTCTGATTATTATGAGGCATCAAACTGGACTTAGGCTATCCAGTGACATTTGATGTGGTGGGGCTTCAGCAATGAGGGGGTAGAGGTGCTACCCTGTCAAGGCACACAAACTGGAGGGGGGAAGGAGTTTAAAGGATGGGGGTTTGTTTAATCTAGCACTGACAAGTCTAAGGCAGGATTTAAACTTTGAGATAGCAGTTTGTTAATCAGTATAGGAAAGAAGTTGTCATTTACTTTTCAGTAGGTGACTTAGGCTGGCGAGAAGGAAGCAGTGCTTCAGCTGGTAGCAGCAAAGCACTGGACAAGGCTGGCCAAAAGCTGCCAGATTTTATTTTACTGGATGAGTTACCAGTAGTGCTGGTGGTACCCAGGAGCAGGTGGCAGAGTACTAGTGCCACACAGGCTGGGATCTAGGACTTTCTTGGGCAAAGGTTTTCAGTCCAGCGTTTCAGCAGCTCCCCAGAGGATGGGCAGTGCAGCACTAATCGTATCACGCTGAGGCCTGGCATGGAGAGGGCTTCATGCGGGTGGGGGAGCCTGGGGGGTGAGGAGCAGGAACCTGAGCAGCAGCGAGGAGCTGCATGGAGGTGGTGACCCCCATAGCAACAGAAACTTGGATCTGGAGATCTTGACTCGCCCCATGCGCAGAGTCTCACCAAGACAGAGTGGAAAATTTTGACAAGTCATGATCATCACTTTATTTTAGAAGTTGATAGGATTTTGATGTGAACTGAAGAGACTACATAGTTAAAAACTGAAGCTGCAACAAGCTGAAAAGTAGAAAAATATACTGTATGTAGATACAAAGGCTTGTTAAACTAGTTAACATTATAAAATGTACCAAAAGTTGTTTAAATAAACACGCACAGTGTGTTAACATGCATTCAATTCATCTTTTGAACTCCAGCTAAGTGGTAATTTCTGATGCAGAAAGCCTCCTATCCCTATTGGCAGGGGAGTCTGATGAAATAAAACATCTTCCCCAAGCGCCCCTGGTGCTTGGGAAACTTGGTTTACCTGAAGCAAGCCCTAATCGCAACACAGCTTGAAGCAAGATAAAAGTATTAAGTTCTGTATTCAGAAGAGAGAAAGTAGTTTGAATTCCCTTATGCACAGGACCTTTGATTTGAGGGTGCTAAATGAATGTCACTGACACTCCTCGTCCCCTGTGCTGTCAAAATAACCTACAGAGAAACAAACACTTTTAGGTTCCTACCTCTGCTCAGATTCATAGTGATTGTTGTTAGGGAAACACAGCCATTGAAGATTTCTTTCTTTTTTTTGAGTTACATTTCCATGTTTTTCATCTCCCACCTGAAGTTAAGCAGTACCACAGCAGCCAGGTTGTGAAAACCATAGAAAAAAACCTCCACACTACTGTTTCTTTAAAAAAACCCAAACACTTAACATGTTTGATTTCTATTGAAATCTATTTCTCAAAGCACTTAAAAGCTGAGGCAGAAGCAGTACTGCTGGTAGGAAGATACCTCAGGCAACAGAAAGTGTTGGGTTTGGTTTTTTTTTTTTTGGCCCACTGAGACATTAGACCTTGTCTATGTTTTTATTCTAGCTTAAGAGACTGCATAGAGGGCATCAGTTCTTAATTTAATTCTATTAGGCTTCACTCCTGCCTCCTGACAAACCAGTTTTGTCTTCAAACTTTGAAGGTAAAATAATCTTAGCTTAAAATCAACTGTATTCTTTTCTAGAAAGCACAACTAGGTTTTGGCAGTGGAAGTACCATATTGATAATGTAATAATTAAACAATGAGTTTCTAATTTGAACTTCAAGTGAAAATGGTCAGGCAATGAAGAGTAGTTGAGAAAGATTAGATATTTAAAAAAAATAACTGTACCATCCAGGTTTAAAAAGTGTAGCAGCTAAATGCTACCAGTGTGAATTCATTAATCCAGCCGGCAGATTATTATAATTTATATGAATCTGTTGTATGCAGATGTTGACATCAGGCTTTAAAAGTCATCTAAGAAAGTTCTTTAGAGACACTGGTACAGTGCATTGCAATTGCGGAAACAGTAATTTCCTGCAAGATCCCACCTCGTAGTGAGTTAAAGTGCCCATTTTCTCAACAGTAATAGGAATGTCACCTTGTCTATCAGATTCTGATTGTAGCAGAATACACTGAATTTTCTTGTCTTGCATAATTTTGTGTTTGTATGTTGTTGGGAGGGTACACCCTGATTGGAAGAAAAAAATCAAGAGCATGAAGGCTTCCAATTCCTTAACCACTCTTCCTACAGAAAATAAGCACCACCCTATACCCGTAGATACAAATAGCCTTAGGCTCTCTTTAAAGTGTGCAAATTAAATATTCAGTAAGAGTCTCCATCAGCATAAATCTGGCTTCCATTCTGCTCAATGCCACTCTTCAGAGGTTAAAATCCGTCTGTGAAGCAGACCTGTCTTTCACTTGGCAAGCAAGGACAGCATCGTGAATGCTGTGAAACAGCAACTCTCTTGTTACAGTGTTATCAAAAAAATTCAGTCTTGTCAGCTCAGTTATTACAGGGCCTACAACATAAAAACCAAACATGGCATCAGTGCATAAACTAAAGTACAAAGATGGAAGACAATGCTATCTCAGGAAGATGACAACTTGTTCTCTTACTTGTTATTACTTAAAACATTTACAGTAGCCAGGTGGATCACATGCTACTTCTACTCCAAATGGGTAATTCTCTTATCCAGACATGCACAGAGGCCTGTTCTTGGCAGAAGATGATACAATTCCAAATATCAGAAACTTGGAACATTGCAGGCTCTTCCTCCTTATTACATTACAACAATTCCAAGGTGCAAAGTTCGGTGTGGCATTTACAGTTCACCAGCTGGAATAAATGGGAGCAGGATCTAGTCCTCACAGAACTCATTATGTCAGCGCTCTACTTTCACTAAAGTGAAGGCTCTAACGCATATATGCTTTTCCTCAAATCCAATTTTATGTGAAGTAAGTGCTGATAGTACTGAGGCACCTGGCAGCAGAAAATTCAGGGCCAGAGGGAAAGAGATAAAACACAATCTCTTGCATGAAGCTCTCAAAAAAAAATAATAAATCTCAACTCACCACTACAGCTGGCAATACAGACACAGACGCCAACTTCTTTGTATTCTTTTATAATCTGCAACAGAGGTAAACAAAAGTTAAACACAGCTCTAACATTGTATACATCGCAGTTTTGGAAGATGTAAGCTAATTACCATGGCAGCTGCACAGTCCACGTTCCCCAGTATTCAGCTAGAACTGACAGAGCTACAGAATTAAAACCGTGATTAGGTGAGATACTGGATTGTATTTGAGCTGGCATTTATGTTCCCTGTTAAGTATCTCACAAGTTTTCTATGGGTTTTTCTGGGGAAAAAAAGCCCTACTTACTGATTTTAATGTTTTTGCTCCAACTGAATCCACAAAGTTCACCGGGGTGAAATCCAGAATTAAAGAGTGGATGTTTGTTTTGGGCTCCACAAACTGTTCGTGCTCATCAGGAGACACATCTTGTACACTAGCATCTGCAGATGCAAATTTTCCATTTACAGGTAACTCATCATTTGCTATCTCATGTTTTACACTTGCTTCCACGTCGTTAGTCTGGGAGAGAAGATAAATAAAGCTTAATGACAGCCAATGCTTTTTCAGTGTAGATCCCCTTCCTCCCCATACTCATCTGTTCTTTCAGTCTTTAAAAGCTGTACAGCTCCTAACCATTACAGAAACTGGCTTTACATCCACACGTACTTCCGTATCTTACATATATCAACGTTTATTCTCTTATGCCCAACCTTTCTACGGTCACATGCAAGCAGCTTAAAGCTGTTCTCCTAGGAGTGAATTACCCATTTCCTTCAAACACTGACACCTGTTCATATGTTTTTACTCCATTTCCTTGCCTTATCCCTGCTGATCCTGCCAAGGCCTATATATCCAAAAGAAGCAACGGCAATCGTGCTCTTAATTTAGGCGTTTGGTTGGTTTCCCATGGTAAAAAGCACACACCAGCTCCCAACAGGGGGGTGAATTTAAACATGCACAAAAGCACAAGCATGTTTCAAACAACCCTTCTCAATGTACCTGCCTCACTTAACCATGCCAGGATCAGCAGTGCGGATGGCACCTTTTTATTACACGGGCTGCTAATTTGAATTCATTTTATTATATCCTATTTCTGCATGATTATTCCAAGTGTGTGGGGAGAGGCAGAGGTAGGGTCCCTCCAATTTCTGCTGAGACAGTATGACAGTGTGGAAAGGCTCTGCTCCGCTATGTGCTACCTGAATGTAATAAGGTTCAACACAGTTATCCAATCCAGCCGTGGACCCTTACGCTGTTCCCCCAGTAGCCTGTCTGCACTGCACAGTGCTTGCTCCCTAAGCCTTTCTACCCGAGTTGCACCCTGCACCTTGTATAAACAAGAATGGTAACACCAGAAAGCAGCAGCATGTTAGCTGATAAAACAGAGGTAAATATTTACCGAAGAATTCACTAGTTTCAATACAGCTTTCTTTCTGAGTTCATTTGCCGCCTTTATTTCCCTGACATGCCTCTTCTGGGCTTTTCTCCTTGCTGCTAATATGGCACAAGGATCCACTCCAGTCTGTCATGAAAAGAAAGCACAATCAGAGGAGATTCAGCTTGTTAGGATGACATTGCATTATCAATTAGCGCTGAATTCATCACTGTTATAAATTTAAAATACAAGCCTGCATTGTTCAGCTTCCCTTGGTGGGGGTGAGAACAGTATAAAGTAAGAAGGAATAATAATCTTGGCAAGCACAGTGTTAACAAGATGAGGAAGAGATGCATCACATTCTTTTCTTGAAATCAGAGCGCACCATGTTTCAACCAAGTGCTGATTCGAGTGCAGAGAGCAAAGGTGAGAGAAGTGCATTTGGACATAAATTGCCAACACCTCTTGCTTTGTGAAGACAAGTACCACCCACCTGTTTTGTATAAGACTCATCATGGGAGCTACAGAAAAATTTTTCAGAAGTTAGTAAGGGTGCAATTGCTACCGGGTCAGGTAGTTCTGCCCTTAGCTAGTTCTATTATTGCCATTCCCACCCAGTCAAACACTGGTTAGACAGGAGGCGAGGCATACTCTGTATGCAGGTAATTTGTTGCTCTTGAGAGGCATTGAATGCCTACAGTATTCCATGGTCTTGCACCCCAGTAAAGTTCGTCACCCACAAAAGAAGCTTTTACTCCCAGACATTTTGGCTTTGGTTCAGCAACTACTTATTTCCTTCTAAAAAAAATATGTGTTTGACCAGTTTGTGCTCTGCAACCACCAGACCTTCCATTCACAAGTAGTATTAAGCTACTCTCTGTCCACTTATTCCCTCCCACCATGTTGTTGCTTCCTAAGATGATTTGCAGTTGGCTGGAGAGTCACCCTCTCATGTTTTACTGATCACCAGGCTGAGAAACACTGTGCTAGGGGCTACACTAAAGGAGCTGAAAGTTGAGCATCTTTCAGAAGCCAGTTTGAATTTTCAAGACACAAGTCATTGAAGAATTTGGTTTACTCACCTTTTTCTTCAGCGCACTTGTATATGACTCACTATTGGCAAAATACAGTGATGCATTAGCTTGAAATATTTTTATTCCAGGATATTCTTTAACCTAAGGAAAAGAATATTGGATGTGCACAGTTAAGTATTGCCTGCACTAGAAGAAAAGCACCTGTGTGATCACAAGACACATAAACATGCAGCAGCCCAAGAGCCAACTCTGAATGGCTATCAGCATGTGTCAAATAAAGGTTGGCACTGTCGTGAGCAAAGCCAATCAGGTCAGAACCTCCCCCTTTCCTAGTGTAATACTGCACACAATCCATGCTATGTAACATTTCTCCTTTTTTATAACAATGAAATGTACAGACATAAAAAGGAATTAAATGTTTGCAGTTCTCTGATGTTGCTATCTGCAGCTGGTATTACCATGAGGAAATCCTGCAGATCTAGGAATGCTTCCTTTTAGCCTCCCTTTATACAGGCATAATGACTTATTTCTCTGTTTCTCTCTGTCCTTTTCTTTCTTGTCTCCTCAGGTACCAAAAAAAGAGCCTTTCAAATCTTTGGTTTTAAACAGATCTTCAGATAGGCCTCAATATCACTTTTTTCCTCTACTTTAAATGAGTCATCTCTAAACAGGCTGCACTCTGACATTTTACATGCAAATAGCCTGGCCAGCAGCTGAGATCCAGCCTGCCATATGCTGCCAAGCCCATCTTTATACAGGACGAGGAATGCTAACCGCATTCAGTGTAACAAAAATGGGAGTCTCCTCTTCTTTGCATACAGCTATAAACATGCTCACATATACTTTTGCTTAGTATCATATTCAAGGTGGAACTGCTGGTGAGAGAATGTTTTCAGATTACAGAATCATCTTTTCCCATAGGTTTTTACAGACTGGTTCTGTAGTAAAGGGGGATGTAGCCTTCATAGCAGCATCTCTGAGAACATGGCAGAGAGTGCAGAAAATTGTAGTTGCTGTTTGTGAATAAATACAGAATGTTTACATCCATTATATTGATAAAATTTACTGCTTTTACCAACTTTTGGTTAAACAAAATGGCATTTATAAGAAGCTAAGTGCATGGCAAGCAGTTGTGCCATTAATCATGTATATTTAATGAGCAGGGGATGGCTGGAGGCAGGGAGATACTGTTTTGAACAGTTCGTGCAATTCTGAAGAACATATCAGTTTGGATCCTGGGTTCCATGGATTTCATGCAATACTGCCACAAAAGTAAAGAAGGTGGCCTTGTACGCACTTGTGTACATAGCAGGTTTAGCAGTGGTATTCCTATAAACCTTACCATTTTGTACAAGCTAGTACAATGGAACTAGTATAAAGGTTACTTTTGATCACCTCCTGGTCAAACATATATAGAGTACAAAAAGCTAGCATTTTCAACAAAAAAGCTTTTGCTACCAAAATCAAATTTATTTTCTTTCCCTTAAGCACAGGTGAATGCTAGGCAGACAGCACTATATGTGCAGTATGGTAGGGCTAAGCAGAAAATTGCCACAGTCGTCTTTGCTCACTACATAAAACTCTTCAGTGCAGAAGAATACACTCCTACCTCTTCGTACTCTTCCACATCACAGTAGATGTCAGTGTCAGGAATCTGACCAAGGGTTCTGTATTGAGGCCTAGAGAGAAATGGAAGCAACTGTTTCAGTATTATCACTTATAAAATGGAAAAGTGAGTGTTCAATACAGATTGAAACTTATTTTAAATGGTCATTCTGCAGTGCCTGTCTTGTACAAGCTTATCTAAATGTGGGCAAATGCAGTGGGCAGTTTACGGAAGGAACAGAATAAAGGGGCCAGTTGGTGACTAGACAAGTTTGCTTCTGTCAGTGCAAAAACAATTTATAAACTTAGCACTGTAATGTTATCATTTTCTGAAAAACATAGGCCAAAGCATGCAAAGGTACAGGGCAAATTCTCTTCGGCATGAACTGGTGCAACTCCATTGACTATCTTGCAAATACGGAAACTCATACTGGCAGAATACATGTTGCAATTTCAAAGAGCCACTCTGCTCCCAGGACAACACCTGAGGAGATAAGTATTCCCAACTCACAAGCAGTGTGACAGCAAAGTACATTACTGTTCTGTTTGCAAGAACAAAACAATGCAGAGATGGCAGAAAAATACTCTTATTTATGCAGAGCAGAAATCTCAGAATTTGGTATCATTCCAATGCAGACCGAAACCTAGACTTTTATACATTTTCCACCTAGATGTCCCAGACCTTGAGCCTAGAAGCCTCACATGACAATCCTACCCACACATGCAAGAAACCATTTCGCTGTAGACCTGGAAAGCTTCACAGTAAAAGCTTTGTCACTTTGAATGGGGAGAGAGGAGAAGTGATTTGAAAAACTAGAAGGGCAAGCACAATTTTTTGATAAATTAGAACTTTCTTATAAAACGTTCATCTACTGATAACCTGACACAACTTCTGCTTGACTGTGACAGTGCACACAGAATGTAATCATTTACTGAAACTGTCATCAAGCAGATCTCAAGTTCTAAACTCTAGGCATTAAAAAAAGTAAACAAGAAGATTAACCAATATAAGAAATCGAAAATCTTCTGTTTATCTTTGAAATGGCAAGTTCATACCCTCTAGAAATTTTGTTCTCAGAAAAATAAAATGTGAACCCTGGATCAGAGCCACAGGGCATGACCTATATTATGAAGCAGATTCTATACTGCATGCAGTTGAAGAGGGTGGAAAGGTCTTCTGCTTATTTGTACCGCTTAAACAAACAAAACCACATAGAAGATCAGCAAATACTAATTTTGAAGAAGAAATCAGAAGAAATCTGACCTTTGTGTTCTGTAAATAATGGTTATCATTGCAAACGCTACTGCAGTAAGCAAACCATAGTCTAGTCCCAGGAAAAGAGAAGCCACAAAAGCTACCACCCAGATGGCCTAAAACAAAGAAAAGGTCTCAATTATTATGCATCCTCTTCTGTTAACAGCAAAAACAATAGCATAATTCAACCTCAAAACCTACATATCACTTCTGTTCAGGAATAGGCTATAATGTAATCCAACATGATAGCAGACTGTAATTGCCTTAACCTTTCAGAAGGGCACAAAAGCTCAAGGTGCACTAACATAACATCTGACAAACCGTCACATATTAATTAATGTCTTAAGTCCCATTCTCCAAGGAATCTGTTGTTACCACCAGACTCCAAATACCTTAGGATGAAAACAATATTCAAGGCCTGCAAGTAGCTCTCACTTACTTCCACCAGCCAGTTAATCCAGGAGAAAAATGCTACCAAAATGTTCCCTCCAGTACTCTTAGTTCTGGCCCACTCCAGCCAGGTTTTTGCTTTGTCTTAAAAGATGGCAAATACCTTCACGTAGTTTTCTTTGTTAACTCTGTTTTTCAAATTCTTCTCAGACATTCCCACAGTCTCCAGTACAGTTCCTATAGCAACACTGAAAAGCTTTGCTTTTACTGCAACCAAACTACTTCTGACCTGAGTTAAAGGTTGTTGAACAACAACAAAAAACATTCTTGACTACAACAGATCACTCTCCTAGGGTACTTACAGCTCCATGTCTTATGTTCATCTGCAATGCAACACCAATTTGTAACTCCTTGATAAGTTTCTACCCTGTTTTGGGGGTTAGGAAGAAGAGAAGCCATGAATTTAATACAGTAAAATATATGGACTGAGCTGTGCATTACTCACCAGCTCAATCTTACTGGTTCTCCAGAAGTGCGCGACATCTCCAAACTGTTTAAACATTCCTTTCAGGTTCACCATGACAATTGCAGCTAGCACTGTCTAAGAATATTACACAAATGCAATTTTCAGAAGCAAAATAAACCCAATGCCAAATAAGAACTTCAAAGCATCACAAATAACTCTATTTCTGTGCTTTGTACAACTGATAAATCTACTGAGCAGATGTTCAATTTAAAAAAACAACTTTTCAAGTAGTTCAGTGGAGATATGCTTTTACTGCAGCTGCAGAAATGGCAAGCTGGTCAGTACAGTTTGATTTACTCTTTCCTGTCAAGAGAAATCACATATTCCTGAGCTCCACGCTGCTGCAATTATAGTGCCTGTAGTAGCTAGACTATAATCTCAAATTCAAGTTTCTCTACAATATATTGCAACAATTCCTGCAACAGTGATATAGTGTAACCCAAGGTATGACTCCTATAAAAAGAAACAGGAATTGCATATCATCCTATGCATGTCACCAGAAACAAACTTTTTTTAAAGTCAGAATATATTTATTCACGTAAATATATTTTTATACAAATAAGTAAAACTGCAGCAAAACCAACTCATTATGCTGAGCCATCACCCAGCCTCAACCCTTTCCTAGCTAAGCTATTACTTTCTTTTAAATTTTTAACCTCTTCCCAGAATTCCTATGCTGCAATCAAATGCGGCCAGCAGGACTAAGGAAGTGATTGTTCCCCTGTACTCGGCACTGGTGAGGCCGCACCTCAAATACCATGTTCAGTTTTGGGCCCCTCACTGCAAGAAAGACATTGAGGTGCTGGAGCGTGTCCAGAGAAGGGCAACCAAGCTGGTGAAGGGTCTGGAGCACAAGTGTTATGAGGAGCGGCTGAGGGAACTGGGGTTGTTTAGTCTGGAGAAAAGGAGGCTGAAGGGAGACCTTATCACTCTCTACAACTACCTGAAAGGAGGTTGTAGTGAGGTGGGGGTTGGTCTCTTCTCCCAAGTAACAAGCAATAGGACAAGAGGGAATGGCCTCAAGTTGCACCAGGGGAGGTTTAGATTGGATATTAGGAAAAAATTCTCCACCGAAAGGGTTGTCAAGCATTGGAACAGGCTGCCCAGGGAGGTAGTTGAGTCACCATCCCTGGAGGTATTTAAAAGACGCACAGGTGTGGTGCTTAGGGACATGGTTTAGTGGTGGACTTAGCAGTGTTAGGTTAACGGTTGGACTTGACGATCTTAAGGGTCTTTTCCAACCTAAATGATTCTAAAGGGGAGTTGTTTGAAGTTATCATTTTTATGTTCTAAAGACAGAGTCCAGAATGTCCAATATTAAAAACAACAAAAAATATGCTGGATCCTTCAAAATTCAAAATGTTATTCATTTCTAGTCTAACTTATAGCAAAAATGCATACAAAATTTAAAGGTTTCTGGATCAAGGCCTAACTGTGTT